CAGACCGTCACAGCGGCCCAGCACCGGTTCAGGACCTGGACAGCCTCCTTAGTAGCAGGTGGAAAGGAGTGACAGAGTTGGACATCATCCGCGTACAGATGACACCGTACCCCGAAACTCCGGATGATCTCCCCCAGCGGCTTCATGTAGATGTTAAACAACATGGGAGACAATATTGAGCCCTGAGGAACCCCACAAGACAATGGTTGTGGGGTTGAACAGGTGTCCCCCAACAACACCTTCTGAGATCGACCCTCCAGGAATGACCGGAGCCACTGCAAAACAGTACCTCCAAGACCCATCCCCGCAAGGCGTCCCAGAAGGATACCGTGGTCGACGGTATCGAAGGCCGCTGAGAGGTCCAGCAGCACCAACAGGGACACACTCCCCCTGTCGAGCTCCCGGCGCAGATCATCCACTAAGGCGACCAAGGCTGTCTCGGTACCATGTCCCGGCCTAAAGCCAGACTGTGCCGGGTCTAGATAATCCGTGTCTACCAAGAATACCTGGAGTTGTGAGGCCACCACACGTTCCAAGACTTTGCCCAAGAAGGGGAGATTGGAAACTGGCCGATAGTTGTCGAATTTAGTGGGGTCCAGTGATGGTTTCTTCAACAGCGGTTTTATTATAGCTTGTTTTAAGCTCGCTGGAATCTTGCCTTCCCGAAGGGAAGCATTAACCACCACCTTAACCCACTCAGCCAATCCCCCTCTGGCCTCCTTTAGAAGCCAGGATGGGCAGGGGTCCAGGATGCATGTGGTTGGCCTCATTCCTCCAAGTATCTTGTCCACATCCTCGGGTTTCACCAACTGAAATGAATCTATCAACTTTAGCAATATTTAATAGACAATAACAGTTCCTGAAAAGTGTACTGTTACGATCCATCAGAAATACATTTACAGAGGAAATGCATTGGTTCCTCACAAACACACACATATTTCCACATATTGAGCAAGAGGGGAACTTGGTTGTATTGAAATAAGGAGAATTTTCTTCCTACAGCTTCCTGTTCATATCAGTGATGTGTATGGCGAAGTCAACAAAGTTGTTGAGTTTGTTGTTGACTCACTAAATTTTTCTTACTAATTTTTAACACGTTAGGATTACAACCCATTGAGTGCTTCATAATCTTCCAAAAATAGGGTTAAAACCAGGATGTGATACTAAGTATACATGCACAAAGGCATGCACTTCTGTGATACCCAAAAGCATGGGAAGAAATAGTCACTTGCACATTTTGTATAATGTGGAAAGTATCCCTTATGGCCCTTGAAAATATAGCAAACCTAGCTAACTTTAGGATGTATTACACTGTAGAATGAATGCAGGTTGACCCCATTTGAACTCCATGGCTCAAAGCTAAGGGATTATGGGAGTTGTAGTTTAACAAGGTCTTTAGCTCTTTCTGCCAAAGGGATCTGTACCTCACCAAACCCCAGGATTCCAAACCCCAGGATTCCATATCATTCAGTTGAAGTGGCATCAGACTGCATTAATTTTATAGTATAGATACACCCACGGACTAACAGTCCTCTGATTTGGTCTGATTTTCTTATAATTTCTCTCAGAGCCCTTTCACACAGCCCTATATCCAAGATTATCAAGGCAGATAATCCCACATTATCTGAGTGTGGACTCAGATAACCCAGTTCAAAGCAGATATCGTGGGATTTTCTGCCTTGATATTCTAGGTTGTCTGGGAAGGGCTCTTAATGTATTTTAAGCCACACTTTTACTCCACGTAATATATATAAGCCACACATGACGAAATACCCTATTTACTCAAATCTAATGCTCACCTTTTTTAGCTAATTGACTTTGCCAAAATGTGGGTGTGCATTAGATTCACATAATATAATAATCTTAATGCTGAGCCAAAGCAAAAGGAAAGCTGCTTCATGAGCACCTGAACCTCCTTTTTTTTAATACAAAAATTAGGAATAGATAAGAAGATAGGAAACTTGATGTTCATGGGTAGAACATCATTATTGTGTTCTCAAAAATGTTAGAAGATACTTTCCATCCATGTTGTTCAACGTGAATCCTTTGTCAGTTAAATGGTCTTTTTTGTAATTTAGGAAGCCAACTATTGGTATTTTTAGATTTTCCAAGTAAACGATTAATGATTCCCAATCTTTTTTAAAAAGTATGTACATCCTGATTATGTAGCCACCTGGACAGCTTGTCCATTTCGAAGAGTTTGGTCTTCCATTTTTCCACTGTTGCCATTGTCCATTGTCTCCAATATTTCACAAATAATATCCTGGCTGCTGATCCCATATATTAAAAAATAGTCTCATATTCTTTTGAAATTTGTTTATGAATAAGACCTAATAGAAGGATTTCAGGATCTAAAACTATTTTGATGTTTCAATATATTTTCCATTATTTTGTGTATTTATCTCCAATATTGTTTAGTTGGTGGGCATAACCACTACATATGGAAAAAAGAGTCACCTGCTGTATTACATTTCCAACAAATGTTCTTTTTCTTAGGTTGGATTTTCTCTAGTTGTTCTGGCATCATATACTTACTTGAGGGACGTCATCTCTAATTTAATTGCCATGGTTGAATGCTATGGAATGCTGGGATTTGTAGTTTGGCGAAGCAGCAGCATTCTTTGGTGGAGAAGGCCCAAGACCTTGTAATACAACACCTTGGAGTGTAAACTTATTTTGTAAAGTACACACGCAGAGGAGATAGGGAAAAATAAACCCAAGGTTAGAATAATTCCCCAGTCTAATACACATTAAAATAAATGAAAAGAAGTATTCTCTCATGTTTCACCACATCTATGGTGTGGTGAACCTCTGAGAATGCCTACCATAGATGTGGATGAGACATCAGGAGAGAATGCTTCTGGAACATTGCCAGCATGCTCTTTGATTGTAGGTGAATTATAAATCCCGGCAACTACAACTCCTAAATGTCAAGGTCTATTTCCCTCAAACTCCATGTGTGTTCATATTTGGGCATATGGAATATTTGTGCCAAGTTTGGTCTAGATCCATCATTGTTTGAGTCCACAGTGCTCTCTGGATGTAGGCTCCCTGGATGTAGGTGAACTACAACTCCCAAACTCAAGGTCAATGTCCACCAAACCCTCCAAGTGTTTTCTGTTGATCATGGGAGTCCTGTGTGCCATGTTTGGTTCAATTCCATAAGTGGTGTTCAGAATGCTCTTTGATTGTAGATTAACTATAAATCCCAGGAACTACAACTCCCAAATGACAAAAATCATTTTTTTGGGTGGTGGTCACTCCTTGGGTTAGTAGGTGTCGTTTGGCGAAATTTGGGTGCAATTCGTCCGGTGGTTTTTGAGTTATGTTAATCCCACAAACGAACATTACATTTTTATTTATATAGAACAGAATATTTAAAACATTTATATTCCACCCTTCTCACCCTGAAGGAGACTCAGGGCGGAGCACAGGATATATACAGCAAACATTCAATGCCAGGACAAGATATCATTAGATGCATACATAAACATTAAAAAACATTTGTCTCAATATTAAAATGCACTGTTTTAAAACCGTCTTGATCGTCTGCGTCTAATTTAATTGCCCTGGTAAGGTATCACTGCTATAATACACTCTTGCACTACTTTAACTCTCTAAAGCTCTAGGTGCTCTTACTGCCTATTACAGGGAAAACCAGCTGATCCCTAACCCATCTAAAACACAGACATGTGCTTTTCATCTCAAGAACAGAGAAGCATCCCGAGCTCTGAAGATCACCTGGGAAGGAATCCCACTGGAGCATTGCAGCGCACCCAAATACCTGGGAGTCACTCTGGACTGTGCTCTTACCTACAAGAAGCATTGCCTGAACATCAAACAAAAAGTGGGTGCCAGAAACAATATCATATGAAAGCTGACTGGCACAGCCTGGGGATCACAACCAGACACAGTGAAGACATCTGCCCTTGCGCTGTGCTACTCTGCTGCTGAATACGCATGCCCAGTGTGGAACACATCTTACCACACCAAAACAGTGGATGTGGCTCTTAATGAGACATGCTGCATTATCATGGGGTGTCTGCGCCCTACACCACTGGAGAAATTACACTGCTTAGCCGGTATTGCACCACCTGACATCTGCCGGGAAGTAGCAGCCAATAGTGGAATGCCCAAGGCAGACACATCTCCAGCTCATCCCGTTTGGGTATCAGCCAGCACATCAACGACTTAAATCAAGAAATAGTTTTCTAAGATCTACAGGGACACTCGCTGGAATGCCTCAGCAAGCGAGAGTCCAAAAGTGGCAGGCTCAAACCCAGAACCTCAATCAATGGCTGATACCGAATGAGACTCCTTCCTGGGCACACAGAAAACTGGGCGACTTGGAAGGCGCTGAACAGACTGCGCTCTGGCACCACGAGATGCAGAGCCAACCTTCAGAAATGGGGCCACAAAGTGGAATCCTTGACATGCGAGTGTGAAGAGCAAACCACTGACCACCTGCTGCAATGCAACCTGAGCCCAGCCACATGCACCATGGAGGACCTTCTTGCAGCAACACCAGAAGCACTCCAAGTGGCCAGATACTGGTCAAAGGACATTTAATCAACTACCAAACTCGCAAATTTTGTATTTTGTCTGTTTGTTTGTTTGTTTTGTTCTGTTAGAAATGTAATACAATTGACTGGTTGCCCTGACACGACAAATAAATAACCACTTTAACTGCCTCGGCTCAATGCCATCGAATTATGGGAGTTGTAGTTTGGAGAGGCACCGGCTCCCTTTGGCAGAGAAGGCTGAAGATCTCTCCTCCGCCTGCCCTCTTCTCTCCTTTTGGAACGACGGCGAATCCTCCCGCCAAAAGCCCTCCTCCGCGGTGATTGGTCGGCCTCTCAGCCAACGGAAGGGCTGTCTCTGACACTCGACGCGGGGGGAGGGGAGAGCAGGCGTGCTCGGCGCGTGCGGGGGACGGTAGACGTTGCGAGGGGCGGCGTGGTGCGCACGCGCGGGCGAGGGAGGGCGGGAGGGAGAGCGCGCGAGGCTCGTCCCTTCTAGGGAGGGGGAAAGCGCCGCGCGAGACGTGGGGCTGCGAGTGGGCCAGCAGCACCGGGAGGAGCCGAAGCAGGAGCAGCAGCAGCAACAGAGCAGGAGGAAGGGAGGAAAGGAGCCGCCCTGCAGCCAAGGTGCGGGAAGGCGCGCGCGCTTGGGACCTCCTCGGCCAATCCGGAGGGGAAATTGGGAAGAGGCACGCGCTGGGGCAGGCAGGGAGGGAGGGTGGACGAGGGCTGGAGCAGCCAACGGGCAGGCGCCTCTCTGCCTCGGGAAGTGTCGCGCCTCCAGTCAGCTGCAGCCTTTCTTTATCTCCTGCTTCTTTGCCTGATCCAGGGCATCCAAGTGAAGTCATTCATAGATATATATTTGGGTATATATATATATATATATATATCAATCATAATAAATTGTATGTATACACACACTTTTAGTAGCCTATATTCATCTATCTATCTATCTATCTATCTATCTATCTATCTATCTATCTATCTATCTATCTATCTATCTAATGGTATAGTACAATATAGTAATATATAATACTGGTATTGTACTATGCTAATAATATAATATGTTGTGTGTGTGTGTGTATATATATATATATATACATATAACATAATAAATTATATGTACACACACACTTTTAGTTGCCTATATTCATCTACCTATCTATCAATATAATGGTATAGTACAATCTAGTAATATAGAATACTGGTATTGTACTATGCTAATAATACGATATGTTGTGTATATATATATATCTTGTAAGCCCTGCTGAGTCCCCTTCGGGGTGAGAAGGGTGGCATATCAATGTAAATAAATAAATAAAAGATGTCTACATTTGTACTTATAGTAGGCTCTCAGTTAACTGGCATGGGATTGGTAGGTTCAGGATCCATGTCATTTTTGGTTGCTTGAGAGTGGCTATTCAAATAGGCCTAATAGTATATCCCATGCTATACCATGCTGTAAACACAGTATTGACTTGATGTTGAAGTACTGTGATTAATAGGCCTGGGCAAACTTGGGCCCTCCAGATATTTTGGACTTCAACTCCCAAAATTAGGCTAAGGAATTGTGGGAGTTGAAATCCAAAACTCCTGAAGAGCCCAAGTTTGCCCAGGCCTGGATTAAAAGGAAGTAACTTAATGTGACACAGATTTAGTATATTATAAAAATAACTTTTTATTTAAAGTATTACTTTGATTTTTTTTTTTTGCTTGAGAGTTCCAGTTGCTTGAGTTCCTGTTAACTGGGAGTCTGTGCATTTATGTATATGAATGTACAGCAGGCATGGGCAAACTTTGGCCCTTGAGGTGTTTTGGATTTCATCTCCCACAATTCCTAGCCGCCTTAGGCCCTTTCCTTGTCCTCCTCAACTGCATAAGCAGGAAAGGGCCTGAGGGTGTAAGAAATTGTAGGAGTCTCCTTACCCTTAAAAAAATATTGCAAAGGCATTTGATGGGATATTTTAATCAGATTTGTTCTAGGTACTCATTGGTTACCAAAGTTTTTTTAATCACATTGCATTTGTGTATTTCAGGTAACCTTTCAATGAAAGAGGTACTGTTAAATGAAAAGAGCCACTAAAAATGGCTACTCCTCAAGAGTAATTTTTTTAATAGTAAAGAGACTTTACGGACACCCTGTATACATAGTAGCCTCCATATATGTGTGTGTGTATGTGCAAGCTACATATATATGTGTGTGCGTGTATGTGTGTTGTTTGGTAACTTGCACTGAGTTGTTTATTTCCTGTGATCTTCTGTAAACATGTATACAAAATGAATTAGATAAAATTTCACTGCTTCTGATACTTTCTTCTGAATCTTTTGGGCACTTTGGAAAACCTCTTCTGAGGGCCCTTCCACACAGCCCTATATCCCAGAATATAAAGACAGAAAATCCCACAATATGTGCTTTGAACTGGGTTATCTGAGTCCACACTGCCATATATTCCAGTTTGGACTGGATAGCCCACGAAGTCTCTTGCAACTCAATGATTCTATGAAGACCTCTCAACCTCTGAGGATGCCTGTCATAGATGCAGGCGAAATTTCAGGAGAGAATGCTTCTAGAACATGGCCATACAGCCTAAAAAACCCACAACAACCCAGTGATTCCAGCCATGAAAGCCTTCCACAAAACATTCTATGAAAACGGATAATGTGGGATTTTATTCAGCTGTGTGGAAGGGGCCTAAGTCTCATTGATTAATGTGGTGGAAGAGTACTGCTGATGGAGTTTGGCAGAGGAAGCCTTGAAGGGCATTAGGAGAAGAGGAAGACTACATTCCAGGTGGATGGGCTGTAATCAGGGAAGCCATGGCCCTGAGTCTGCAGGGCTGCTGAGGATGGGGTGGCTTAGAGGCCTCTACTTCATAGAGTTGCCATAAGTCGACTTGAAGGCAGTTAACAACAACAGAGTAAAACTTGCAGAGGTCTTTCCTGTACCCAAATGTGTAGGTGAGGTCTACATTTAAAGTACATCACCAGGTCTGCATGCTTATTTATTTATGTATTTTTAACTCAGTGGGACTTAAAACGTGCATATAAGGGAAGAATAGTGCTTACGGCTACTTTCCAAAGACTGTATTTTCTTTACAGAAATCTGGCCCCTGGCAAAGGAAGGGAGGCTCTGCTGCCATGAGCCCTCCGGCAGCAAGCCCCAAAATCCTGTACCGAAATTCCCGCCTCCTCCGCATGGTGTTTCTGCAGCTTCATCGCCAACAGAGAGCCGATTTATTTTGCGATGTTGTCCTGCAAGCAGAAGGTAATTGTCTTTAAACTAAAAGAGGTCCTGGCAAAGGTGCTACAAAATACTAAATATCTGGATGTTTATATATTCTGTTCCATGATCAGTATCTTAAGAAAATTTGGACTTCTGATACACAGAATACTGATAATGAATCCTAAAAAAGGTTATTGGGTTTTTTCAAGGTATTGAATTATATCTTGGCTGTACAGATATTGCTAATCTTAATTAGTGTGGTGATGATCACAATCATGAAATAAAGCACAGGTAGTAAGTATGGGCAGGATTTTGTCAAACAAGATTAAGGAACAAGGTTGTGAGAAAGGCGGTATATGAATATATCAAATAAATAAATCCCCCCAATTATATTTTACTTCGTACAGTTCTACCAAAAATCAATGTATTATATATAACAGCCTTAACATTTGTACATAGATTGTGTGATACGTTCCACTTTCATTCAACAGGTTGTTGACATAAGTCTTCTTATATACATCCTTTTAAAAAACTAACATTTAATTAATTTTTTAAATATTAAAGCTACCCATGTTGCCCACCCCTTCTCCCTCCCTCCCGCTGCATATTTATTCTATACTATTATCTTTAACTGTGTGCATACTTTTCTTAATTTCTGTAAGATGCTTATGTTGGCTTCCCCTTTAAATAAATTTAAATTTCAAATTATAACAAACATAATAGGGGACGATAGTCAAGAAGATAAAAGATAAAATAAAGAACAAATGGACGACATATATAGAATGGGTTTAAAAAAGCAGCTTTGAATCTCAGTTGAGATAAAAGCATGATTTAAGTAAATATGGTGATGATAATAGTTGTAGAATATGGTGAATAAATGCCTTAGGCGTCTGCTTCTGGTGTCATGGTTTGGCTTTGAAATAATAACTGCTTCCGAACACATGTACAGTTCTCTTCCTCGGCTCTGTATGATCACAACCCATTTCAAATCATCTGATAGTAAAGAGGGATTTTCAATGCAAAGGGTATGACTTTGTGTAGAGATAGTCCCTGGAATCTTTTTTTTAACCAGTGGTGGGAATTGTGTGGCTCTTCAGCTGTCGTAGTACAACTCCCAACATTCTGAAGACTGATGGTTTCACAGAAGGTTTGCAGTGGAGTGTGAGTAGTTTTTGTTGGGTGAGTGGGCTTATTAACAAAAGACCCTCCTCATAAATGTACAGCAGAGTAACTTAGCAGCAGCAGCGTGACCCAGCACCAGTAGCCCAAAATGATAAAAAGAACAATTTTATCTCTTCCTTTGGTGGCTTTTCTTTATAGCAAAATAATATAGTTGAACTATTTACAAGAACAAGATTTCCATAACACAAATAATGTTCTTTATACTTCCTTCTTTGCTTCCACGCCGGGCTTCTTTCTTATATAGATAAACAGCTTTGCTCTCATAGGGCCTCCTTTTACACCAAACTTATACAGGAGCTTCACACACGAGGTCTTCAATGTGGGGCTTCTTCTCACTGAAGCTTCTCACACACCAGGCCTTCTCAAACCGAGGCCTACTAACACCAAGGCCTTTCTCCCACTGGGGTGAACTAACACTGAGGCCTTCTTATACTGAGGCCTACTAACACACGGAGGCCCTTCTTCCACAGAGACCTCTCCCACACAGACTGAGGGCTACTAAGCTACAGGCACACCTGCTTATATTGAACGGCAGCTTTTGTTGAGTCATTGTATCCATTTAACCCTTTTGGTGCATGACTCACATTTTGTAATTAAAAATACCTAGTTAATATTTAATATTTCGGACAGTTTTGCACATTCAGATTTAGACTGGTACTCATAATCCCATGCCTCTGGTTATGCTAGGTAGGGCTGATGGATATTGAAGTCCAGGAGCATCTGGAATGCCACAATTGGCCATCTTGGTGCACAGGAGTATGTAATGGATGCAACTGGCAAAATCCAACCAAACCTAAGAACTTTGAAGTCCTGTTACTTCTTTCAGTTGAACAGACCAGCGGATGTCTAACTGTTTTGTTGAAAATAAGTGAGCCTTTTCTTTGGCTAGGCCATACCTAGGCTTTTAACACATGTGCACCTCCAGTACTAGTGGAGTAGCCTTTCCCAACATGGCACATTCCACTTGTGTTGAATGACAACATCCATCCCCAAAATATGAATAGTGACTGTAGTCCAACAACTCTGGAGACCCTCAAGTTGGAGACCAGGGTAGGATAAGTACATGGTGTTAGCATATTAAATAACTTTTCTTGACTTATAGTAAAGGTACAGATTCTTATCTATAAAGCCCTAAACGGTTTGGGACCTTTGTGACCGCATCTTTCTCCGTGAACCAGCCCAAACCCTTCGATCTTCGGGTGAGGCCCTCCTTTCGTCCTTGCCAGTCTCTCAGACTTGCCTTGTGGATACAAGGGAGAGAGCCTTCTCCTCTGTGGCCCCCCCAACTCTGGAATTAATTGCCCAGAGAGATTAGAAAAGCCCCTACCTTGGAAACTTTTAAAAAGAGTCTTAATACCTGGCTTTGCTGTCGCGCTTTTGAAGAGTAGCCACATAATTTTATGCTAGTGCTCCCCCAAGGTTCTTGTCCCAGGAGTCCCCTCCCCCTCCATGTACGAAGGTTTGCTTATTTTCCTATCTCTCTATGAGCTCTCTTACAATTAGTTCTGCCCCCTTATCTCACCCAGAGTTTTTAAATCATTTTATGTACATGCGGCCTGCCCTTTGTCTTTCTGTCATTATGTTTAGTTCCTATGTTCTGTGTATATTATTTTATATGCTTTGATGTTTTATATCTTAATGTTATGTTGTTTATTTTATTGCAATTTGTATTGTTATATTGTAATTTTTGTTCGGGCTTAGCCCCATGTAAGCCGCTCCAAGTCCCCTTTGGGGAGATGGTGGCGGGGTATAAATAAATATTATTATTATTATTATTATTATTATTATTATTATTATTATTTCCCTGACATTGAGTCTAGTCGTGTCCGAATCTGAGGTGTGTGTGGTGGTGGTGCTCATCTCCATTTCTAAGCCAAAGAGCCAGGGTTGTCCAAAGACAGCTCCAAGGTCGTGGCTGGCATGACTTCAAGGGAGTGCCATTACTTTCCTGCCAGAGTAGTACCTATTGCTCTACTCACATTCGGATATTTTCGAACTGCTAGGTTGGCAGAAGGTGGACATACAGCGGGAGCTCACCCCATCCCGCGGATTCGAATCACCGACCTTCTGCAAGTTCTGCAGCTTAGTGATTTAACCCACTGCGCGACCACAACCCCTGATTGATAGCATACCTGCCCACAAATATGAACACAAATCCATTAAAAATTGTCCTAGGTAGTCCACACTAAACAGTAAGCTAATTTTGTACTAAGGAAAGTCTGTGCATGCACATGGGCTCAAACAAAAGTACTGTATATCCTATCCTGCCCAATGAATTGCAGGAGCAAAGTGTCTTCACAACTGAGAGGCAGAGTGAGTGATATTTTAAATTAATAGCACTTTCAGAAGCAATTGTGGAAGCAAGTTAACTGCTTCACTGAGCTGCCCACACCCATGGATTATAAATTATCTCAAATAATATAATATACTATAGTTGTGAAATTGGACCATTTTGGAGCATCCCATAGAGACCATTCTGTGTTTTGAAGGCAGATACCAGTAGATACAGTAACTGATAATGACACTGTTGTTTGCAGGACAAGCTGTTCCAGCACACTGTTGCATCCTGTCAGCCTGCAGCCCCTTCTTCACGGAGCGCTTGGAACGAGAAATGCCCCCCAAAGGACACAAAGTGGTGCTGGAGATCCGAGGCCTCAAGATCGGAACGCTGCGTAAACTGGTCGATTTCCTCTACACTTCTGAAATGGAGGTGTCTCGGGAGGAAGCCCAGGATATTATTGCAGCTGCGCGGCAGCTTCAGGTGTCAGAGCTCGAGTCGCTTCAGCTGGAGGGAGGGAAGTTAGTCAAAAGGTCGCTGGGCCCACGGTTAAATCGTAACTGCTTGCAGCTCTCCAGTCCAGTATTCAGTCCAGAGGCAAGCTTGATGCAGTCTCCTGCCGTCTCTGCTGGTGGCTCCTTGACTTCCTTGGTGGTTGCACGCAAGCAACGTGCAGCAGCGAAACTTCCATGCAGCAAAGATAACAATAATGGTGCTGGCCAGAAAGAGGCAAAGAAGCAAAAACCTATGGCAGCAATTCTAAGTTGTGACAAACAAATGCCTAAGGACCCAACAGTTCCTGCTGATCAGTTGCGAATAAAAGGCAAAAAACGTGCAGCAAGTATGTTGAAAAATACATCAGGCAATGATGAGGCTGACAATCTGCAGACAGAGGAAACTGGGAATGGAGAAAAGCAAGGGGCAGTGAGCTCCCAGGAGACAAAAAAAATCAAGATCAGCCGCTCAAAGCTCTCCACTCAGCCTTCTCCCGTGCCCTGTCCAACCAAAAACCATAGCACCATGGCACCTAGCAAGTCCTCAGTGTCTGCCAGGCGGCTTTGGAGACAGAAGATTCCCCCTAGTAAGGATGGGGCCAAAGAGAGGGAAGACACCTGCCATTTCCGGAGCCCCTCTCTTGTTCCTAAGACTGCGAAAGGCAGGAAGCGCAATGTCAGTGAATCAGCTCCTAGCTCCAACCTTCCTCCTGAGGCAGGACAGATTGGCCGGGTGAAGCTCCGGAAGGTTGTCAATGGCGGCTGCTGGGAAGTGGTACAGGAATCGTTCGCAAAGCCCACAGGGGGAGCAAACACTGTGTATGTTTTGCAGGACAAGGACCCCCAGTCTCAGCTCCACTGTCCCAAGGCAGAGAGAGTTGATGCACAAGAACCAGCCAGCTCTCCTAAACTTCCTGCAAAACAGAAGGCCTCACCTTATAGCGAAAAGAACCTGGCGGAAGAGGATAAAAGCAAAGAGGTGTTGGGTGAAGCAGACGGTGATGTTGCAACCTCTTATGAACTCAGTGTGTTTGAGCTAGAACACCTGGCTGAGGATGAACAGTATGGTAGTGTGGCTTCAAATGGAGAGTTGGAGCACATGTTGGATTTGCTTCTGGCAGATGACGATACTCTTGGGGACTCCCAAGGCACTGCTGCTCCAGGTACTGCAAATGTATCAGGCCTTTCATTAGGAGAAAAAAAGAGTCCGTTGGGAACTGTAGATGAAGAAAAAGACAAGTCTTCCACAGATGCGTCAGTGTGTCAGCCATTGGTTAAGTCTGAAGATAGGCCCCTAAAAACAGAGCAGGAGGCTCCTAATCTAGAAATTGATGAAGAAACTCATGGCTCAGGGAATGGGCTCCTCTTGACAAACTCCGTTCTTGATTCCCTTCCTCTTGTGGCAGCTGAACCAGGTCATGAGAGTTCGACCTTGTGCAAAGCAGCTTCTCTGCCGGAGCTGGACGACTGGACAGAACCCGAACACCAATTGACTGCCTTAGAAAATGACACTGGCAGGTTTTCTGAGGCTTTGGCAGCTGTTTCGGCAGGTAACAAGGACCAAGGGCTGCCGCCTCATGGAGTGGGAATCTCAGGTACAGAAGCACAGTGGCCGACTCAAGTTGTGCGAAGGAACCCTTTGCAACACAGCTTGGACTGCAAGCTGCTACCCCTCTTAGCCAGCTTAGAAGAAGAAGAGCTGGAAGTTGGTGGGGTAGAAGAACTCTTTGTTAGCATTGAGTGTGTCCGGCCAGATCCCTCTCCAGTGTCTGAAACTGAAGTGGATGTTCTAAGCTAGTGGGGCAAGGAGTTGCCTTGACTGTCTATAGAGATATATAGGGCGCACTCAGTGCTTCCATTAAGCTCCATGGCAGGTAAATATGAAAGGAGCAGAGGAAAAACATGTATTCTGAGGTGTTTTAAGTTGAAGGGTATGTTTCCATTCCAATTCATGGATGGGGGTTATTTCATCATCACTCCTCATCCCAGTCTAATCATGGCTGTCAGATTTATGTCTCTTCGTATACGGTACACAGAAACATAGGTCTTCAAAAAGGAAGCCTACAGGCATTGCTTCTGTGAAGAGTACTGAAACTTCCACATATAGAAAGACTTCACTGTTTGCCAAGGGTTGTGCTTGTTAATTTGTGTTTTTATCTCTGCCTGAAATGAAGGCAGATCATAGAAATGCCTCACATTACATGCCACAATTGGTATGGATCTAGAACTCAGTGGATCAATCACTTTTGCTGTCTGAGTTTAAAAGGGTATTTGGGTCACACAGCAGGGTTATATCCAGCTATTCAAACTCCTGCACTTCCATTCATAGACTAACTGTAAAATGTTATATTGGTTAGGTAGCTGGATGGAATTATTTCATGTATTCCTCACTGTTAGGGTGACTTTTTCCACTCTGAGTGAGCTATAGAATTAACTCAGCAGTAGGATAGGGAAGAGACACAGTGCCCTTGTTCCACTGATGCCACATACCTGCCTCCTTTCACTGAAGTCATTTAGGCACTTCAGAGCATCAGCACAAGTATTGTGACTGCATACTAAGGGTTTAATTTCTTTGTGAAGCACTGCCACATTTTGGGACCATATGTTAAAGCAATTGCTGGCTGGAGAAATCAGTTCCTTATGTAATGCACTACCATAGAAAATGCACTACCACAGGCAAGCTCCCTTGCCTTATTGCTTCTGTTAGATCTGGCCATTTGGACTCCCAACAGCTGGCCTACTGTACGGAGAAGCTGATGCAGTGGACAGTAGAGTATCTTATATAGAAAGTCCCTCCCAAGGGCTTTAAAATTAAATGAAAATTGCTTGTTTTTCATTGAAGCCATCTTCCTTGTGCTTACAGCTTCTTCAGAGAGGTGAACTGAGGTTCAGTGGCCCATACCTCCATGAAGCTCACAAGTGGGGAACAGACGATGAGTGGATGGTGCAGACAAGGATAAATGTTGAGTTGTGACTTGTTCAAATAAAGTTTAAGTTTTTCTGCGACTCTTACTTTTTGCAGACTCATTTCAACTTTGGGATTTGGCTCCGTCTCAGGGAACAAAGCTATGTGTGCTCAAATATGTAGCAAGAGATTAGCGGAGGATAGAGGAGGTTCTAACAGGCTCACTCTAGATATAGGTTTCTAATATTTAAAGCTAATCAATAGAAGCTACAGAATAGTATTTTTTCGTGTCGGGAGTGACTTGAGAAACTGCAAGTCGCTCCTGGTGGGAGATAATTGTCCATCTGCAAGGACATTTCCCAGGGGATGCCTGGATGTTTGATATTTTACCATCCTTGTGGGAGGCTTTTCTCATGCCCCTGCATGGGGAGCTGGGGCTGACAGAGGGAGCTCAACCTGCTCTCCCTGGATTTGAACCGCTAACCTGTTTTGTCAGCAGTCCTGCTGGCACAAGGGTTTAACCCACCACCACCGCGGGCTCCAAATAAGAGTACATGCTAAGGGTTGTTTTTGTTTGATACACGTTAAACAAGAAGATCAAGACCTCTGAAATCAGCAACTAGCTACACATTGCTTTATATGAAAAGTAGGGTTCAAGCTCTGAGGTAGTAGCGCTAAAACCATTCTTTATATTCCCAGACCCCAAACTATAACTTGTATTGGCTAGAATGGGAAAGTTGAAAACATCTGGAAGAGCAAAAGTTGAGAACTGGTGGCCCAAGACCTTTAAATTCTGGGATCCCAGGGTTTTTTGTATATCTCCCCATAGGAGCTGCAGTCCTTTTCAGTTTGATATCACTAGAGCCAAATAGTCATTCTAAAGCAGGCATGGGGAAACTTCAGCCCTCCAGGTGTTTTGGACTTAGCGGAATTGTGGGAGTTGAAGTCCAAAGCACCTGGAGGGCCTAAAGTGTCCCCATGCCTGTTCTAAAGTGTAAGAAGCATACGCCAGTTCTGGCACTACGATACATAACTTTCCTTCCATTTGTTGCGAGTATGAAAATAAAATGCTAAATGAAGCTGAAAACAGCCCTTTCTTGTATCCTGCTGGCATGCCTTCATCTGTTGCTCTCTTTGCCTTCCTTATCCATAGGACTACTTTGTAAGAGTTACTGCCAAGTACGGGGACTACTGGTATAAATTAAAGTTGTAACATTTAAAAAGGCAAGCATTATCATTTAAATCATGAAATTGTGAGGCGTGGTGGCCTCACAACTCCAGGTATTCTTGAGAGACACGGATATTCTGGATCCGGCACAGTCTGGCTTCAGACCGGGGCATGGTACCGAGACGGTCTTGGTCGCCTTAGTGGATGATCTGCGCCGGGAGCTAGACAGGGGGAGTGTGTCCCTGTTGGTGCTCCTGGACCTCTCAGCGGCCTTCGATACCGTCGACCACGGTATCCTTCTGGGGCGCCTTGCGGAAATGGGCCTTGGGGGCACTGCTTTGCAGTGGCTCCGGTCATTTCTGGAGGGTCGCACTCAGAAGGTGTTATTGGGGGACTCCTGTTCCGCACCACAACCTTTGATTTGTGGAGTGCCACAGGGTTCCATACTGTCCCCCATGCTGTTTAATATCTACATGAAGCCGCTGGTGAGATCATCCGGAGTTTCGGGGTGCGGTGTCATCTGTACGCAGATGATGTCCAACTCTGTCACTCCTTCCCACCTGCTACTAAGGAGGCTGTCCAGGTCCTGAACCGGTGCTTGGCCACTGTAACGGTCTGGATGAGGGCGAACAAATTGAAATTGAATCCAGACAAGACAGAGGTACTCCTGGTCAGTCGTAAGGCCGAGCAGGGTATAGGGTTACAGCCTGTGCTGGACGGGGTCGCACTCCCCTTGAAGGCACAGGTTCGCAGCTTGGGTGTGACCCTGGATTCATCGTTGAGCCTGGACCCCCAGGTTTCAGCGGTGACCAGGGGAGCATTTGCACAGCTTCGGCTCGTGCGCCAGCTGCGACCGTATCTCGGGAAGTCTGACTTGGCCACGGTGGTACATGCTCTTGTCACATCCCGGCTTGACTACTGCAACGCTCTCTACGTGGGGCTGCCCTTGAAGACGGCCCGGAAGCTTCAGCTGGTTCAGCGCGCGGCAGCCATGTTACTAACTGGAGCGGGATACAGGGAGCACACAACACCCTTGTTGTCCCAGCTCCACTGGCTGCCGATTTGCTACCGGGCCCAATTTAAGGTGCTGGTGTTGGCCTACAAAGCCCTGAACGGCTCCGGCCCAAAATACCTTTCAGACTGCATCTTGGCCTATGAGCCCACGAGGACCTTGAGATCGTCTGGGGAGGCCCTTCTCTCGATCCCGCCTGCCTCACAGGCACGCCTGGCGGGGACGAGAGAGAGGGCCTTCTCAGTGGTGGCCCCCCGGCTGTGGAACACTCTCCCTACAGACATCAGGCAGGCGCCCTCCCTTTTGTCCTTCCGAAAAAGCCTCAAGACGTGGCTGTTCGAGAGGGCATTTAATTAAGTGCTATAGTAATGTGGTAAAGACGACTGGAATGGTACAAGGAATACGAGATTGGTCACGATTCTATTACGAGACGAAGCGGTTTAGTTAGTGTAATTTTAACTGTTGTATTGTTATATTGCTAATATGTTGTTTGTAATTGCTTTGATGTGAATTGCCTTTTGTACTGTACACCGCCGTGAGTCGCCCGAGTGGGCTGAGAATGGCGGTTAATAAATGAACCAAATAAATAAATAAATAAATAAATTACAGCATGAGATCCGAACAGAGCTTGGAGCAATGAGGAGAAACATGAGCTGCTCTGCTTTGAAGGCAAAAACATTTCCCTACCGAGAAACTAAGTGAGGCAACTTTCTTACAGAAAAGATCTTCCACCACTAGTCTAAAAAGCCACATCAGAACTTTTGACCATAAGAACAACTAAGAGAGATTGGCTCCATCCCTCCTGAGTTTTAGACACACTGTCAAGACCTATCCTTTAACCTAGGCATGGGCAAATTTTGGCTCTCCAGGTATTTTGGACTTCCACAATTCCTAACAGCCTACCAGCAGTTAGGAATTGTGGGAACTGAAGTCCAAAACGCCTGGAGGGCCAAAGTTTGCCCATGCCTGCTGTGGCCCAGTTTCTCAAACTTCTCCAGATGTTTTAAACTTAAGCTCCCACAGTTCCTAACAGCTGGTAAACTGGCTGGAACTTCTGGGAGTTGAAGTCCAAAACACCTGGAGGAGCAGATTTTGAGAAAGACTGCTCTCGCCTGATTCTAGTACTGCTTGGTTTATGCCTTTTTGGAGTGTGTGTGAAATAATAGATATGTTTATTGTATTTCTTCACAGATGCTCTGTTGGTATATTTCTGTGGGCAGAATTAAAAACAAGGATGACAGATGTTCAAGCTTTATTGGAAAACAAGGCTTACACTTTGCGAATTCTAAACAGTAAAAAAGCAAACATATTTTCAAGGGAAGTGGGGGCAACATGGGTCCATTTTTCTGTGGAGGAGGGCAATAGCTTCAGAGATGTGACTGGATTTGCTCCACTTGATCATATCCCATCATGAATGCTCCAACTCACAGAGGATGTGTGGATCCACAGCTTATGCTAATAAAAAAAAATTACAGTAAATCACTAGCATATCTGTTATTCCCTTGTATTGGGTATTTTAGGAAACATTTTGAACAGGAGCATGAAAACTTGAAACTGCCTCAATGTTGAGGAAAAAGGCTTCTATTACAAAACGGAGACGTCAAGGCCTTGAAAGTTATCCTTAACTAGAAAGAAAGTAGGAGGACTACAGTTAAGGCTGTAGATAATTCAATCATGCATAATAATAATACTAATTATTCAATACTAATAATTCAATCATGAATAATGATAATAATAATAATAATATTTCTAGACTGCCCTCTCTCAATCCAAGAAGACATACTGCCTCATGACACTAGAGCATGGATCCACTTTAAACCCAGTTTCTGTCTCCTGCAGAATTCTGGGGTTTGCAGTTTAGTGAGGCTGTTAAGGGCCCCTCCCTAAACTACAATCCCCAGAATTCTGCAGGAGGCAGCAACCAGATTTAAGGTTGACCCATGCTCTAGTGTGATGAGGTCCATAGTTAAGTAAAACATAAGTAAACATTACAACAAATGCCCTAAAAGCAATTTAAAATACAGTTACATTAAAAATGGCTGGTGCCGATGTTCATTTAAAATGTATTGTGGCAGCCATATAGTACAAGCGGGACTAGCTAGCATTTGAAGTAGTTAAAGTGTCTTAGTCTTCCTCCATTCCATACACTTAAGTGCTTAGGCACGTTTTTATACGTTTCTTAAAGGAGAGGAGAGTGGGGGCTGTTTTTACTTTAGGAAGAAAATTCCAGAGGTGAGGAGCAATCATGGAGAAGGCCCACTCTCTCGTTCCCACCAACCAAGCTTGTGACGGAGGTGGGACTGAGAGGAGGGCCTCCTCCGTTGACCGCAGTGCATGGGATGTTCTGTATAAGGAGATGCAATTAGACAAGTAGCCTGTCTAGAGATGTTTCCCTTAAAGACAGTGCAGCTATATGGCACACACAAAGAATGAGTTAACTGCCATAGAAGGAAAGATTAGCTGCTACTTACTCCTAGCCTTCACTCACATCATCCAGAACCTCCCATTTGCTAGTACCTACACAGCACCCCTGAATGCAACAGAGACACAGGTTGGTGTGGATGAAGCATACTGAGCTAATAAACAATGCAATCTTTATGACCTCTTATAACTTTATTGATACATACTTCCACTTCAACAGTGAAGGTGGGTATCACTTCATTTCGCCTCTTGTGTGCCCTGATTTTTGATAAGGAAAGGCATTAGCAATAGAAAATTCGCAGAGCCTTTTCTCCCTCTCCAGCTTGGCAACAAAACACATTGAAAACAAGGAATAGTAACAATTTGGGAGCTTGTACCAAGAAGGCTGTATCTCTCAAAATGCATAGACACTTTCAGTGGGAGTTAAAGGAAAACCGTCTGGACCTACTCACCATCAGCAAGTCTTTCCTGGCTTTAGTCCAGGTTGCCCTTCAGGACCTCAACTACCTTGCTTGGTTCTGGGAACTTCAGCTTTCGCGGTGGACCCTTCTGGAGGCCGCTCCATAACTCTACCTCTAAGATCAAGAAAAGAAAATTAAAAGACATTGGGAGCATTTGTATGATGTGACTGCCAGCCAGTGGCAAATATGAAGCCAGAGAGGACATGTCCCTTTACTGCCTTGCTTGTATGGAGCACTACATATATTCACGGGATAGCTAACTATCTTTTTAGAGAAGTGGGCTAGCAACAACCAGGTGATAATTACATTTGAACTACTCTGGAATATTAATACCTTGTGGCTAACAGCCAAAGAGAAAAATAAAAACATGAAAGCCGTGGAGGTGCAATCACAAAGCTTATCACAACCACCTGACAAACTGCATGGAGAATGAGTGGATCTGGATACCGTTGTGTGCCCTATTGCCCTGTGAGTAGATTTGTGGGCACTTCATCTAGCAGGCCAAATATCATGCCAAGAAACATTTATGAGACTCAATTTTACCTTCACTTAAAAAAATTGGTTGATTACAGAGACTTCACAATCTCTCACTCATGACAAAGACCCAAAGTGGTGTAATGGATGTTTGAGTCAAACTAAGACTTAGCAATCTATGTTTTGGTCCCTTTTGGGCCGTGATCTTTGGGAGAGACTCTTAGCCTGACTGGTTGTGAGGGGAAAGTGAGGTGGGGCAAGGAGAGCCATGCATGCCATGTGGCTTCATTGGAGGAAAGGAGTATTTTCAATATAACAATCCAGCAACAACTCTCTTACAATAGGCCACTTACTGGTGCCATCCTCTTCACAAGAACAATCTCAAAGGTGTTCCTGCGGGGCTTCTCAGGATTAATTTCCACCACGATCTCAGAAAAGGCCTGTTGCAATGCCTCACTAACAGCATCAGCATTGCGGCCAAAAACCCGTCAGCTTTTGCTGTAAGATGAAGGGAAAATATTAAAACTCGAGTTTCTTTTTCTGAACATTTGACAACTTTCACAAAACCAAACAGACTCAAATCCGTCTGTGATTTCATTTCCTGGGGAAAAAGGGTTTATCTACCCTGAACTAGCACCTCCCATCTTTAGAATTCATCCTGTATCTTGCATTCCAATGTCTTAGTTTGTAAAATGTTTAAGACTGGAGAATGAGATTCATTTTAGGATACGGAAATTCTTACTCAAGTGGGTTGTTCTGAGTTTTCCGGGCTGTATGAGGCAAGTGTGAATGTTGCAACGAATCACCTTGATTAGTATTGAATAGCCTTGTAGCTTCAAAGCTTGGCTACTTCCTGCCTGGGGGATTCCTTTGTTTGGAAGTGATTAGCTAGCCCTGATTGTTTTTTGTAGGGAATTTCCCTGTTTTTTGAGAGTTGCTATTTATTTACTGTTCTGATTTTAGAGTTTTTAAAATACTGACATGAAACAATCAGGGCCAGCTAGCACCTCCCAACAAAGGATCCCCCAGGAAGGAATCAGCCAGTCTTTGAAGCTGCAAGGGCATTCAATGTTAATCAAGGTGATCAATTGTAACATTCATACCTGCCTCATTCTTTCTCCCACCCCGGACATTCCATAGATATATAGACCCCACTTGCCTAGTTTCCAACAAACCTCACAACCTCTGAAGATACCTGCCATAGATGTGGGTGAAACATCAGGAAAGAATGCTTCTGGAGCATGGCCATGCAGTCCGGAAAGCTCACAGCAACCCAGTGATTCTGGCCATGAAAGTCTTCAATAATACAAATTCTTACCTAAGCTATACTTGTAATGTTTGATTGAAAGTTGATAATGAGCAGGCTGAAGGTTTTTTAAATCTGTCTTTACACAAAAGGAATCACAAATGATGTTAAAGCCATCTCAAGTGAGACAAAAGAAGGAAAAGTTGTCTAATTTTTAATTGCATTTTATTGTATTATAATTGTATTTTAACTTTTACACTCATTACACAAATAGGTTTTTTACTTTTTATATCCATACGTATATGCATTAACTTTGTTTTTAAAGTTTATTGTATTATGTCATGTCACTATTAGTCGCCTTGAGTCCCTATGGGATAAAAATAAAGTTAATACAGTAGAGTCTTGCTTATCCAACATAAATGGGCTGGCTGAATGTTGGATAAGCGAAAATGTTGGATAATAAGGAGGGATTAAGGAAAAGCTTATTAAACGTCAAATTACATAATGATTTTACAAATAAAGCACAAAAATATCATGTTTTACAACAAATCGACAGAAAAAGCAGTCCAATACACAGTAATGTTATGTCGTAATTACTGTATTTACAAATTTAGCACCAAAACATTGCAATGTATTGACACAGTTGTGGATCCAGGTGAAATGCAGACCGTTGAATAACACACAACGTTGGATGAGCGAAGGTTGGATAAGCGAGATGCTACAGTAATAATGATATCTCTAAAGGTAATGTGCATAGTCTAAACATTTTTAATTATTTAACTTTTTAATGTACAACCATTATTTCCCCCCTTATATGCAAATCTTTCAAATTACACAGTAATAGCACTAAAACAATTCACTCCAATGCTGTTATGGCTGCATCCAATGGAATCCCAGTTTAGGTAATTTAGACCAAGAGAGATGTAGTATCACACTGAGCTATAAATTCCAGAATTACACAGAACACAGAAATGGCAGCTGTAGTGGGATCCCGATGCTATAATTGGGTAGCATGAAAGGCACACAAGCGCAAATTAAAACACATCACTGATTCAAATAAAAAGTATCAGATGGTTAGAAATTGCCAGGCAGCAATCCTACCAATATTGCCAAGTTGCATCTTGCACGAAGCAACAAGGAAATGCTTGTTGGAAGCGGGTGCTCACCAATGCTCAATGGTCACACGAAGAGAGCCCAGTCCTTCCTGTGACTTCAGCTTCTTGGGCATCTCCTTCTCCGCTGCACCACTGTCCGCTCTTTCCACAGCAGCAGGTCCAGCGGCCTCTGCCTTCCTCTTCCGCTTTTTGGGGGGCATCCTATGCCAAATGAATCAGAAAGAGGCGTAAAAAGAAGAGGCAAGAGAGCAGGGGCCCTTTACAACTACAACAGAGTTTTCTGAACTATGTGTTGTGACAACTTAGTGAAGCATTTCTCAAGCTGGGTCTGGACTCCATTTATGAGTCTGGCCAGTATATATCTGGAGTATTTCTATCCCATTCTTCAGTCACAATGGCTCTGACTGCCTACAAATACTTACCGAACTCATTCAATGCAGGAAAACTTTATGAAGAGTGCAAAACATACAAAACATGTCTCCTGTGTTATGTTAATAATGTAATATCATATATTGTATATGCATATAATATTTATAATATCATAATGTAATGCAATAGAATACTACTAATAATATATTATAAATATATATATTATATGTAATATTACTAATAATATTACAATATAATGGTATAATACAATATAGTAATAATTAATGCTGCTATTGTACTATAATAATAATAATAATAATAACATAATATAATGTATGTTTATATATCTTGTAAGCTGCTCTGAGTCCCCTTCAGGGTGAGAAGGGCGGCATATAAATGTCGTAAATAAATAATCTATATAAACAAAAATGTAATGTTAGTTTGTGGGACTAACATAACTCAAAAACCACTGGACGAATTGATACCGAATTTGGATGCAATACATATATCAGGCCAACAAGTGACCATCACTCATAAAAACACTGAAAAACTTTAAAAGCAAACAAAAAACAAAAAAAACACACATTACAACGCATGTGCAAAACCACATATATATACACAAACATACGTATGTCGCAGGTTCAAATCTGGGGAGCGACATGAGCTCCCGCTGTTAGCCCCAGTTTCTGCCAACCTAGCAGTTTCTAAAACATGCAAATGTGAGTATATCAATAGGTACCGCTCTGACGGGAAGGTAGCAGCGCTCCATGCAGTCAAGCCGGCCACATGACCTTGGAGGTGTCTATGGACAATGTCAGGGAAAACCTTTACCTTTAACCTACACAAATATATACACACACAAAACACATAGGCACAGACTGGGCCACAGTAAGTGTAACAGGGACAGCTAGTAAATAAAAAAAAAGTAAACACAATAGATGCAGAAAGAACAAAACCATGCAGCGCAAGAGAAGCCCAGAGCGCTGCCACACTGTAGAGTTAATACAGTTTGATAGTACTTGAACTGCCATGGCTAAATGCTATGGAATCCTGGGAGCTGTAGTTTTACAAGGTCTTTAGCCTTCTCTGCCAAAGAGTGCTGGTGCCTCTCCCAATTACGGATCCCATGAAGACCACAGAATTGGGTCCTGGCAGTTAAAGCGTTGTGAAACTGCATTGCTTCTACAGTGTAGCTGCACACCAAAATGTAAGAAGACAACAGACCTGACCTGGCCTCCTGCAGACAACCGCACAGCCCACGTGCAGCCCCTGAGGCCGAGGCAAGGAACTGGCCCTGCGGGCTCAACCATTTGTGGTGATAGGGGAGGTATGTAGGAAATAAAATTGAGAAAATCCACGGTAGGATAGAAAAGCCCAGAGCAGCTCTTCACGTTGAGCAGTGGAACGGCTCTTTGAGTATTTCTGCCTCGGATGCCATGAAATCTGAGTACGGTGAAATAAAAGATTATTTGGGGCCTTCCAAGTCTCCCCTCTTTGGCAACGTGGTTGCTGCCGTTTTCCGGTAGCTCTTTCAGAGGCCACACCAGCCAATCGCGTCGTCCGCCGAATCTCATCCGCCAATCAACGTCGCCCGGCTCTGTTTCAAGTCTCTGCGATGAACCCAAGCAGCAAGAAGCATCTTTCAACTTGCCATTCAAAATGTGTTCACAATTGCTGGGCAGGGGGTTTGAAGTGGAAGCACCAAGCACTGTCTGGTGATAATCCCTATGGAATCCAAGTGCTGGGAGAGTCCCCCAAGGGCCACTCTCTCCAACCCCATCCTGCCAGGAAGATACAATCAAAGCACTCCAGGCAGATGGCCATCCAGCCTCTCTTTAAAAACCTCCAGAGGAGGAGACTTCACCACACTCCTAGGCAGCAGCATATTCCACTGGAGTAAAAATCAATGGAGGAGCCCCCGGTGGCGAAGCAGGTTAAACCACCTTGCTGACTAAAAGGTTGGCGGTTCGAATCCAGGGAGTAGGGTGAGCTCCCTCTGTTAGCCCCAGCTTCAGCCAACCTACCAGTTTGAAAACATGCAAATATAAGTAGATCAATAGGTATCACTCCAGCCGGAAGGTAATGGTGCACCATGCAGTCATGCTGGCCACATGACCTTGGAGGTGTCTATGGACAACACTGGCTCTTTGGGTTAGAAATGGAGATGAGCACCACCCCTCAGAGTCGGGCTCGACTAGACTTAATGTCAAAGGGAAACCTTTACCTTTAAAAGTCATTGGGGGAAGGAATGGAAGAACTCAGGAGGTAAGGACCCCATTGAAGATTGTTCCTTGCGAGCTGGAGACTATTTAAATACCTCACCTTGCAGCACACGGTCAAAAGAAATGGCGAAGCTATTATTTTTTCTTTCTTGATTTTCTTCTCTGGGAAGAAAAGGATGGAAAGAAGGGAAGGGAGGCACACACTGCTGCCCAGACCTCTTTAAAGCTTTCTATAAATGTGGGAGTGTGCGTGCTGTAAAAAGCATTATTCTCAAGAGCACGGCTGCAGCTACATTAAGAGTCTATCTCAGGCATGGCCAAACTTGGGCCATCCAGGTGTTTTGGACATCAACTCACACAATTCCTAACAACCTCAGACCCTTTCCTTTCCCCCTTCAGCTGCTTAAGCTGAGGAAGGGGCCTGAGGCTGTTAGGAATTGTGGGAGTTGAAGTCCAAAACACCTGGAGGGACAAAGTTTGCCCAGGCCTGGTCTATCCGATCAGATGGCCTGACTTGCTCCCTCTCTTTCTTCCTTCAAGATCCAATAAAAAACTTTCCTGTTTAGACAGACCTTTAGTGAAGGAAACCAAGTTGGAATGATAAGAAACACCACAAAGTGCAATATGATCGGACATGATGCCACAAGAATGTGAATATTGTTAATGTGAATGCTGTTAAATTGTTGTTTTATGATGTTTTATACCATTATTGATGTATTTGTTGTTTTGGAGCCCAAGTGGCGCAGTGGGTTAAACTGCTGAGCTGCTGAACTTGCTGACCGAAAGGTCACCAGTTTGAATCTGGGGAATGGGGTGAGCTCCTGCCAACCTAGCAGTTCAAAAATATGCAAATGTGAGATTAACAGGTACCGCTCCGGCAGGAAGGTAACGGCATTCCATGAAGTCATGCTGCCCACATGATCTTGGAGTGACTATGGACAACGCCGGCACTTTGGCTTAGAAATGGAGATGAGCACCACTTCCCAGAGTTGGACACGACTGGACTTAATGTCATGGGAAAACCTTTACTTTTACCTAATTGTTGTTTACATGATTGTAATACTTTGTAAGCCACTTTGGATCCTGTGAGGGTTATTTGAGCTGGAACTCTCATTTAAAAAGAAAAATTAAAGGGGATGGTTTGGGGTCGTAACCCCCCCCCCCCAAATTCAGTAGTCCCCCCTCACTCATTTGCCCAGTGGTTCTCAACCTGTGGGTCCCCAAATGTTTGGGTCTTCAACTCCCAGAAATCCTAACAGTTGGTAAACTGGCTGGGATTTCTGGGAGTTGTAGGCCAAAACACCTGGGGACCCACTGGTTGAGAACCACTGCATTTACCTATCAAGTAAAATGCTTTCAGCATCAGAGGAAGGCAATAATTGTCTTCTCCCTCCACCCTGAACAATATTTTAAGATTTCTCGGATTTTTTTCCAAGTGAGACTTATGCACCTATATCAGGCAGTCCTAATAGTGTAACAATTCCCAATAGCTGGTAAGATGGCTGGGATTTCTGTGAGTTGAAATTCAAAGCATCTGGAGAGCCAAAGCTTGACCATACCTGAGCTATATCACAGACGGGCAAAGACCAAAGGCAGGAGATACTGGCTGAGTGCTTTTTGCATCAAGCACGGAATACAATGAGCCTTAAGCCCCCAAAAACCTGTGAGGTTGAATAATCTACTGAAAACACGACTCAAACAAATCACCACCATGCGGAAACAAGACACTCCCATATTTCTTTATTAGAGGCAATTTTACAAGACCATTAAGAGAAGTATGAAGGGGGCAAAGAACAAAACTGTTTCTATTGTTGGGCAAGCTCCCTGTGTTAGCAGTGGCATTAAAGCAATTAACCGTAGAAGTTCACATTGATTAGAGAAGTGGTAACTCCTCCAGTTTAGGGGAAAGCCCATTCTCTGAGCGTGTTACAGTAAGCTAGCAGCTTTTGATGTAAAGGATCCAAGGTCCTTAAGGGCTACATGGCAGCCACTTACTCTGGCACATTATGGAAACATTCTTGTTCTAAACCCCCAGAGTACAGCAGAAATATTAAAAAGCTCTGCTGTTGTGGTTAATAGAAGGCATCAAGTAGGAAGTAGAAACTGCTAACAATACCCGTGCCTTCTCAATCACAAATAACACTGTGAAACAGCAGTTCAAATAGGAGTGAATGTTTATAGGAAGGAAAGACATCTTTTCCCCAAGAACTGGTGAGCTGGTCAAAATTTTCCACTGGCCCACTAAAGATTAATAAGCAAAGAAACCCTTCCCTTATAGCAGCTATTAAGCCCATGCTTTTCTCAGTAGTTTCTATTGATTGGCAGGAAAGTGTACATTCCCCACTCATCTAGAGATGCCAGTTGTCATGGTCTCTGGCAACCAGAGAGATCTTCCCTTGCTGGCTCAAATCTACAGATGTTATCCCTAGTTTCTCCCAGAAGAAGAAGAAGAAGGGACAACAGAGGCAAAGAACACATCTACAAACCAAGCAGCCACCAGCAATCACACACCAAGCCCAGGGTAGCAGAAGCTCTCTGATCTTAACACTCCTAGCTCCAGCCTTGTGAGCTGGAGACAGATTTCAGCTGACATCTTAGGGCACAGAACAAGATGGAATTAGGAGTGGGGAGCTAAGCAGTAAGGGGGCTCTGGCCCAGTCGCTTGGGCTCTTATTTATCCTTTTTGCTCTCCCCGTTGGGAAGCTCCATGATGGCAGGCTGCTCTGGAGATTCCTCGGGGGTCTCATCAGACTGCTTGAACACTTTCTTGGCTCTCTGATACAGTTCATTCAAGTTGAATTCCCGGATCACGTTCTCCTGCGACAGAAAGACAGGTGGACATTGTTTTGTGTAACTGTCCTGTTCTCTTTGGGAAGTCTCACATTTGCATCTTGCCAGACAGTCTACTTTACACATTCAGAGCACTGGAGGGTCATGACCAGAGAATTGTTAGCTCTAGTCATGTTTCCAAAGGGACAGGGGCACAGAGCCCCTCTTTTACTTTTGGCAACCCCCCCACATGCAACATGGTGCCAAATAGGATGTACCTCAGAAAAGGTCCATGAAACAGCTCGTCCCTTTTTATCAATCTGTGGTCGGCGCATCACCTCTTTCCCACCTTGGAAAAGGATTAGTGTGGGCAGCTGCTTAGTGAGAGGAGAGGTGCTGACTTTGTACCTGGAAAGAGAGAAGGGTCTTAAGTCTGTCTAAGTGTTTTTTTAAAGCATGTCTAGTCAGTGTCCTCTTTTCCATCACAGTCTCTCTCAATATTACAACTAGAGGTTTTAGGAAGATTAATCACTAGCATTTTGGCCTCCACCAACTTTTTAGTTCCCACTGCAAAGATACCTGAAGAGCTCACCTAGTGCTAACATCAGGGTAGCGACCCACATCTACCTTCCCAAAGTTCAGTCCATTGCAGTTATACCTGGGGGGAAAACAGTAAGGCAAACATCATTTACCGAGTAAACTGAAATAAAAAATAAAATTAATGACAACAGTGCACGGATTTCAATACCATTCCCAGCCAGATATTGACCACACCAAAACCAGGGTAGATTCAGCTAGGCTGCAACATTATGGATCCAGGACTATATCCTGTGTACCTTAATGCACAAGAAGAGCATTAATAAGGTACTTTAGCTTTTGGCTCTGCTGGTGAGTGGGGATGAGAGTTAAAATATTTGAATGGCCAAACTTCTCCATCCCTGCTTCAGCTGATGAGTATGTCTCTTCTTTCCCTCTGTCCTCCAACACTGATCTCCAATGCAAGCACCAACCCATAAGAATAACAATTTCATTATGCTGAGTTATAAATACATTCCTTTTTCTTGAGAAACTACAGCAAATTATTGGAAACGAGGATTTTTTCTTGGATTTTCTATACAAAATGCCATCTAGTGATCATTACTGAAAGCAGCAAGTTGTTCATACAGAAATGATAGAAACACAGAAGGGGAGCACCTCTTCCCAGCATAGATTAATCTAATTTCACAGGCTTAAGTTTAAAAGGTCTGTATTTTTGTTGAATGCCTGGCAGGATTCTATAGTAAAAATTTAACCAGAAACTGCCAACCAATAGTGAGCCATTGGCATTCTGTATCCAT